TTCCGGGCTCCTCAAAGCCGAGCCCAAGGGGGTAGAGACACGGGGTGGGACCCAGGGACTCCCCTGGTCCCGGGGTACCCGCGGTGTGAATTTGACGCGCGGGGGACAAAGGACCAGAAAGTTATGGCCCTTGGAAACCACCGGGGGACCATGGGGGTTAAGGTTAGGTGTGGGGAAGGCCTGGACCTCCAGGGGGGCTATGTGCAGGCGTGGGGGGCGGCCTGGACCTCCATGGGGGTTAAGGTTAGGTGTGGGGAAGTCCTGGACTTCCAAGGGGGCTATGTGCAGGCGTGGGGGCGGCCTGGATCTCCATGGGGGTTAAGGTTAGGTGTAGGGAAGCCCTGGTTCTCCAGGGGGGCTATGTGCAGGTGTGGGGGCGGCCTGGATCTCCATGGGGGTTAAGGTTAGGTGTGGGGAAGGGCCTGGTTCTCCAGGGGGGCTATGTGCAGGTGTGGGGGCGGCCTGGATCTCCATGGGGGTTAAGGTTAGGTGTGGGGAAGGCCTGGATCTCCATGGGGGTTAAGGTTAGGTGTGGGGAAGGCCTGGACCTCCAGGGGGGCTATGTGCAGGCGTGGGGGGCGGCCTGGATCTCCATGGGGGTTAAGGTTAGGTGTGGGGAAGGCCTGGATCTCCATGGGGGTTAAGGTTAGGTGTGGGGAAGGCCTGGATCTCCATGGGGGTTAAGGTTAGGTGTGGGGAAGGCCTGGATCTCCATGGGGGTTAAGGTTAGGTGTGGGGAAGGCCTGGACCTCCAGGGGGGCTATGTGCAGGCGTGGGGGGCGGCCTGGATCTCCATGGGGGTTAAGGTTAGGTGTGGGGAAGGCCTGGACCTCCAGGGGGGCTATGTGCAGGCGTGGGGGGCGGCCTGGATCTCCATGGGGGTTAAGGTTAGGTGTGGGGAAGGCCTGGACCTCCAGGGGGGCTATGTATAGGCGTGGGGGCGGCCTGGATCTCCATGGGGGTTAAGGTTAGGTGTGGAGAAGCCCTGGACCTCCAGGGGGGCTATGTGCAGGCGTGGGGGCGGCCTGGATCTCCATGGGGGTTAAGGTTAGGTGTGGGGAAGCCCAGGACCTCCAGGGGGGCTATGTGCAGGCGTGGGGGCGGCCTGGATCTCCGTGGGGGTTAAGGTTAGGTGTGGGGAAGGCCTGGACCTCCAGGGGAGCTATGTGCAGGCTGCTGCCCGACCACAGCACCCCACACCCCCGCAGGCGCACCTCCAGGGACCGCCGGGGCTGGGGAAGACCTGTGTACCAGTCGGACCCGGGTACCCACTATTAAGCCCCCCCCTCGGACTGCACACCCTTAAGCGCTGCTGGAAAAACCAGGCGTGCCTGGGACTACAAACAGAACAAAACGTGCCTAGTACTACAAGCTAGACACTTAGTCTGATTTTCAAAACGTGCCTGGTACTACAGCCTAAACACTTAAGTTTTTTCCTCAAAACACTTAGTCTGATTTTCAACGTGTGCCTGGTCCTACAGCCTAAACACTTAGGTTTTTTCTCAAAACACTTAGTCTGATTTTCGAAGTGTGCCTGGTCCTACAGCCTAAACACTTAGGTTTTTTCTCAAAACACTTAGTCTGATTTTCAAAACGTGCCTAGTACTACAATCTAAAGGAAGGGAGGAAGAAAGGACTGGCCACACCCAGGCCGCCCCCCCCCCCCCCCCCCCCCCCCCCCGGGCCTGGCCTCCAGATACGTGCCATAACGCGGGCAGCTTGGTTAACCACGGGGGTTCACCGGCAGCCGCGCCCGGACCACGCGGCAGGTGGACACCTGGCATTGTGGGGGGGGGAGAGACGGGCAGGGTTTTTGACCCAGAGGTTAGACACGGGTCCGTCTGCACTTGAGGGCACGAACCGCGGACCGACGGGGGCTAAACTTGCAAGAGGAACAGCTCCCTGCCGCGCTGCAAAACCCCAGCTGCGGGAGGGACACGGGCCCTGTGAGGAGGACCGTGTTTCCCGATGGATGACAAGTGCACAAGGCGCGGGAGCGACCAGGCACGCCTGGGCCACCCCCCACGTCCCCCCCACCCGGGCCAGGCCTCCAGCCACGTGCCGTAACGCGGGCAGATCGATCAACCGCGGGGGTTTACCAACAGCCGCGCCCGGACCACGCGGCAGGCGGAGGCCTGGCGCTTTGGGTTAGGGGAAGACACGGGGGAGGTGTGTGGGCCCGAAAGTGGGACACAATTCTGGCTCCAATTGAGGGCACGAACCGCGGACCGACGAGGGCCGAACCTGCGAGAGGAACAGCCCCCTACCGCGCAGCAAACCCCAGCCGCGGGAGGGACACGGCCTCCCCGCGAGGGGAGCCGAGTGATCCATCGCTAAGAGTTGTTCAGTTTGTTTCTGTGTCCGAGGAAGGCCACTGGGAGTCTGGAAGACGAGGGGTCTCGCCTGTTGGACAACAGGACCCCGCAGGCGCTCCCTGTTCCAGGGCCCCCCAGTGGGGTCCCTGGTCGAGGAGACTTTAGTACCCCCCGCCGCTCCCCGTAGGAGAGAGGCAAGCATTGGGTACCCGCGGGTGGAGCGGGGGGAGACCCGGGTCAGGCCTCCATACCCCGCGCCGGGGATGGGTTCCGAGAGCGGACGTACCCCGTGTGCTAACCACCTGCCTAGAGCCGTCGGGCGTCACTACGCGAGAGGACTGGCGCCTGAGCCCCGGGCCCGGGGGCTCAGCAGCAGCCGTTGTCCTCTCGCCATGTGCCGCCCTGCTAGGCAGGTGCTGGGGTCCCGTCCTGTGCAATGAGACGTGAAGCGTGTGTGGGGGAAGAAGGGAGAAGAGAGGCCTGAGGGAGAGGTACCATGAGAAGAGCAGAGGACAGACCTAGGCACTCTGTCTCTCTGCCTCCCGCTCGGTGTCTCCAGTCCTCAGTCCCACCACAAACTCCCGACTCCCCCGGGGCTCCATGCCAGCTATGGGGCACCCCAGAGGGGCCCTCAGCTTTTTTCCCTGGGCGGCCTCACGTGGCCGCGGCACGCGCCGCAGACCCACCGAGAGCCAGAACTGGTAATGCCTACCCCCTCAGGCGAACGCACCCTGGTCGGAGTGCGGGGCGTTCGTGGGCTTTCGTTTGGAGCCTGTCTGGGCCCTACTGAGGGGTACGAGAAAGCGTGTCTTCTGACCTCTACGCCTGAGTGGGGGCCCAACGTCTCTGTGAAATCTGGGGTAGACAGGGAATCTCATTCTTGCCACAGACAGGTCCGCCAAGAGCCACCAGCCCGGGGCCTCTAGGCATTATAGTTGATCCCCTTCCCAGTGCTCCGCCAGGGCCGTGACCGACTCCAGCGGGGCCGATCCGAGGACCAACTCAATTGGTATGGTGACGGGCGGTGTGTACATGTTAGGCCAGCTCTGCCTGCTTGACCTAGTATTTAGACAGCGTAGCGTGTGCACCATTCAGGGTCTAATAGCTGGTCATCCCGCGTCTCTGTGCATCCGGGAGAGACAGGGCGTTTCGGTCTCGCCACCGAAAGGTCCGCCGATAGCCCCTAGCCCGCGCCGGAGCCATGCGAATAGAGTCAGGCATGCTGTGTGGAGGAACCTTCCGGCTCGAATAACTTCCACCAGGGGCCCTGCAGAGGCATGCCGTGTGTACAATTTGAACGGCCTCGTCCAGACAAATCCGTAGATACCAAATTTGTATGGGTTTATTCTCATTCCGAGATTGAGACCACGACGGGCAGGCGCTTCAGGTCATCCCACAGTCACTCACCTTCCATCGGACTGATATTCTCTGCCTGTAGCCTGGATGTCTCTGGATTGAAACACATACTCTGTCATATTCCCCATATAGGTCCCTTGGAGAAAGTGGTTTGACCTCGCCTTTTTAGGCCTCAGGAATTTGCGTTAGCCCGGGAGTCCCGGGCTGACACTTAGTTTTTTTCTCAAAACACTTAGTCTGATTTTCAAAACGTGGCTGGTACTACAGCCTAAACACTTAGGTTTTTTTTCACACTTGAAAATAAGACTAAGTGTTATGGCACTTAGAATTATTTTCAAAATCCCCACGTAGTCCCAGGCACACTGAGTTTTGCCGAGTGCTCGTGGAGGCGTTTAGGGGGGAGGCCCCTTTAGGCCTTTAGGCCCGTGATTCTGGCACCTGCATTGCTCTATATCAAGCCGCATTTCAGGGGCTTTTTTCGGGGAGAAATCCTCCGCACACTCACGCTGGCCAGTGGTGCATTTAGGACCGTTTTTTCACGCGTTTTTCGGGCATTACACCTCCACAGAGACTCCGTGGTTCTGGGACCTGCATTGCTCTATATCAAGCCGCATTTCAGGGGCTTTTTTCGGGGAGAAATCCTCCGCACACTCACGCTGGCCAGTGGTGCATTTAGGACCGTTTTTGACGCGTTTTTGGGGGATTAATCCTCTGAGGACCCCGCCACTTCAGGAGCTGCCCTTGGTTCTATTTAAGCCCGGGTTCTTGCTCTCTCGCGGTGAGACCCGTGGTATGTACCCCCTGGAACGCCGGTTAGACAGTGTGGTTCTCCCATCCCTATACAAGCGTAATTTTAACCCGGGCCCTCTCGGGAAGTCATTTATTTCTGCACACCCACACATACACACACACACAGACACACACACACAGAGAAACACACACACATACACACAGACACACATCAGGACAGCAGAGATAATGATGAGCAGAACATGCAAACATTCAGGGTTTAATTTCTTTATTTATATTTTACATTTGACACAAAAACACAAAAGTTTAACCCAGACCCAGATCCAGACCCAGGCCCAGGCCCAGACCAGACCAGACCCAACCCCGACCCCAGCACCAGATCCAGACCCAGCACCAGACCCAGGCCCAGGCCCAGGCCCAGGCCCAGACCCAGCCCAGACCCAGCCCAGACCCAGCTCAGACCCAGCCCCAGACCCAGGCCCAGACCCAGCCCAGACCCAGACTGTCCTCTTCCTTGCTCTTTGTCTTGGGATCATAACAGAATATTGTGGTGTTTGTCGTTGTGTGTTTAAATAAAGCTCAGACTTTGTGGAGTCGCAGTTTGTCGATGTGGAAACACAGCTTTAGAGCCGGACCCAGTTTCAGACCCAGATATTTCATCATGACGTCACTCTTCAGCAGCAGCAGCGCGTTCCCATCGATCTCCTGCAACAAAGACACACTTATAATAATAATCATAATCATAATCATAAAAAATAAAAATAAAATTCTAATAATAATGATAATAATAATAATTGTACAAATGTATTGTTTCACACAGTTATTTTTTGGACTTGCTATGTCTCTTCACATTGTTATTTTTTCACTCCAAACACACTACTGTAACTACAGCTGCCCTGGGGCACAATGACAGAATCGAAACAACCAGTATGTGCCATCAGCCCCTCCCACCTACACCAACCATTCACACACACACCAGACTCATTCTAATGTGGGGGAAGTGTCTTGCCTAAGGACACAACCACTGTTGAGCACCTTACAGACGCAGCCGCCCCCCGTGGCACCTGCTGTTCCCAGAGGTCTCCCGACACAGCACTAACCAGGTCCTGTCCTGCTTAGCTTCAGGGATCAGACAGGGGGAGGAGCCTGTTGTAATGGTGTTAATAATAAACATTATTTACGTGTTTCCGGAACAGCTCTGCGTGTGTACCCAGTGCCTGAGGGTCTTTGTGTTTGAGGAACCACACCACGTCCTCCACACTCCAGGACGAAGGCTCCGGACTCAGGACCCGGGTCCCTGGCAGGTCCCGAGGGTCCTGAGGGTCCTGAGAGTCCTGAGGGTCCTGAGGTTCTGGGGCCGCGCTGTACGTCCCCACTCCTGCAGACGAGACACAGTCAGACTGTTTGATGAGGACTGTTTATGAGCACATAAAGCGCTACTACCCTACCATACTCTAGAGTAGAGTAGGGTAGAGTAGAGTAGAGGAGAATAGAGTAGGGTAGAGTAGAGTAGAGTAGAGTAGAGTAGAGTAGAGTAGAATAGAGTAGGGTAGAGTAGAGTAGAGTAGAGTAGAGTAGAGTAGGGTAGAGTAGAGTAGAGTAGGGTAGAGTAGAGTAGAGTAGAGTAGGGTAGAGTAGAGTAGAGTAGAGTAGGGTAGAGTATAGTAGAGTAGAGTAGAGTAGGGTAGGGTAGAGTAGAGTAGAGTAGAGTAGAGTAGAGTAGAGTAGAATAGGGTAGGGTAGGGTAGTGTAGGGTAGAGTAGAGTAGAGTAGAGTAGAGTAGGGTAGAGTAGGGTAGGGTAGGGTAGAGTAGCGTAGAGTAGGGTAGAATAGAGTAGAGTCGAGTCGAGTAGGGTATAGCAGAGTAGAGTAGAGTAGAGTAGGGTAGGGTAGAGTAGAGTAGGGTAGGGTAGAGTAGGGTAGGGTAGGGTAGAGTAGAGTAGGGTAGAGTAGGGTAGAGTAGAGTAGAGTAGAGTAGTGTAGGGTAGAGTAGGGTAGGGTAGGGTAGAGTAGAGTAGGGTAGGGTAGAGTAGGGTAGGGTAGAGTAGAGTAGAGTAGGGTAGAGTAGAGTAGGGTAGGGTAGGGTAGAATAGAGTAGGGTAGAGTAGAGTAGGGTAGGGTAGGGTAGAGTAGAATAGAGTAGGGTAGAGTAGAGTAGGGTAGGGTAGGATAGAGTAGAGTAGAGTAGAGTAGAGTAGAGTAGAGTAGGGTAGAGTAGAGTAGGGTAGAGTAGAATAGAGTAGGGTAGGGTAGGGTAGGGTAGTGTAGGGTAGAGTAGAGTAGAGTAGGGTAGAGTAGGGTAGGGTAGGGTAGGGTAGGGTAGAGTAGAGTAGGGTAGAATAGAGTAGAGTCGAGTAGGGTATAGTAGAGTAGAGTAGGGTAGGGTAGAGTAGAGTAGGGTAGGGTAGAGTAGAGTAGGGTAGGGTAGGGTAGGGTAGAGTAGGGTAGAGTAGGGTAGAGTAGAGTAGAGTAGGGTAGAGTAGGGTAGGGTAGGGTAGGGTAGAGTAGGGTAGGGTAGAGTAGGGTAGGGTAGAGTAGAGTAGAGTAGAGTAGGGTAGAGTAGGGTAGGGTAGGGTAGAGTAGAGTAGAATAGAGTAGGGTAGAGTAGGATAGAGTAGGGTAGAGTAGAGTAGAGTAGGGTAGAGTAGAGTAGAGTAGGGTAGAGTAGAGTAGAGTAGAGTAGGGTAGAGTAGAGTAGAGTAGGGTAGGGTAGAGTAGAGTAGAGTAGAGTAGGGTAGAGTAGAGTAGAGTAGGGTAGAGTAGGGTAGAGTAGAGTAGGGTAGGGTAGAGTAGAGTAAGGTAGGGTAGGGTAGAGTAGGGTAGAGTAGAATAGAGTAGAGTAGAGTAGGGTAGAGTAGAATAGAGTAGGGTAGGGTAGGGTAGGGTAGGGTAGAGTAGAGTAGAGTAGGGTAGAGTAGGGTAGGGTAGAGTAGAGTAGGGTAGAATAGAGTAGAGTCGAGTCGAGTAGGGTATAGTAGAGTAGAGTAGAGTAGAGTAGGGTAGGGTAGAGTAGAGTAGGGTAGGGTAGAGTAGAGTAGGGTAGGGTAGGGTAGGGTAGAGTAGGGTAGAGTAGAGTAGAGTAGGGTAGAGTAGGGTAGGGTAGGGTAGGGTAGGGTAGGGTAGAGTAGGGTAGAGTAGAGTAGAGTAGGGTAGGGTAGGGTAGAGTAGGGTAGGGTAGAGTAGAGTAGAGTAGGGTAGAGTAGAGTAGAGTAGAGTAGGGTAGGGTAGGGTAGAATAGAGTAGGGTAGGGTAGAGTAGAATAGAGTAGGGTAGAGTAGAGTAGGGTAGGGTAGGATAGAGTAGGGTAGAGTAGAGTAGAGTAGAGTAGGGTAGAGTAGAGTAGAGTAGGGTAGAGTAGAGTAGAGTAGGGTAGAGTAGAGAAGAGTAGGGTAGGGTAGGGTAGAGTAGAGTAGAGTAGAGTAGGGTAGAGTAGAGTAGAGTAGGGTAGAGTAGGGTAGAGTAGAGTAGGGTAGGGTAGAGTAGAGTAAGGTAGGGTAGGGTAGAGTAGGGTAGAGTAGGGTAGAGTAGAATAGAGTAGAGTAGGGTAGAGTAGAGTAGGGTAGGGTAGAGTAAAGTAGGGTAGAGTAGGGTAGGGTAAAGTAGAGTAGAGTAGGGTAGAGTAGAGTAGGGTAGGGTAAAGTAGAGTAGAGTAGAGTAGGGTAGAGTAGAGTAGGGTAGGGTAGGGTAGGGTAGAGTAGAGTAGAATAGGGTAGAATAGGGTAGGGTAGAGTAGGGTAGAGTAGAGTAGAGTAGGTTAGGGTAGGGTAGGGTAGGGTAGAGTAGAGTAGGGAAGAGTAGAGTAGAGTAGGGTAGAGTAGGGTAGGGTAGAGTAGAGTAGGGTAGAGTAGAGTAGGGTAGGGTAGGGTAGAGTAGAGTAGGGTAGAGTAGAGTAGAGTAGGGTAGAGTAGAGTAGGGTAGGGTAGAGTAGGGTAGGGTAGGATAGGGTAGAGTAGGGTAGGGTAGGGTAGGGTAGGGTAGAGTAGAGTAGAGTAGAGTAGGGTAGGGTAGAGTAGAGTAGAGTAGAGTAGAGTAGAGTAGGGTAGGGAAGAGTAGAGTAGAGTAGAGTAGAGTAAGGTAGAGTAGGGTAGGGTAGAGTAGAATAGAGTAGAGTAGAGTAGAATAGAGTAGGGTAGAGTAGGGTAGGGTAGGGTAGGGTAGGGTAGAGTAGAGTAGAGTAGGGTAGGGTAGGGTAGAGTAGGGTAGGGTAGGGTAGAGTAGAGTAGAGTAGAGTAGAGTAGAGTAGGGTAGGGTAGAGTAGAGTAGAGTAGAGTAGAGTAGAGTAGGGTAGGGAAGAGTAGAGTAGAGTAGAGTAGAGTAGAGTAGAGTAAGGTAGAGTAGGGTAGGGTAGAGTAGAATAGAGTAGAGTAGAGTAGAATAGAGTAGGGTAGAGTAGGGTAGGGTAGGGTAGGGTAGGGTAGAGTAGAGTAGAGTAGGGTAGGGTAGGGTAGAGTAGGGTAGGGTAGGGTAGAGTAGAGTAGAGTAGGTTGAGGTTCCAGCATGGAGGAGGGACTCCGTTGGGCCCTGTAAACGTTCCTGTAAATGGCCCTGTGAGGGAGGGTCCTGTGGGGGAGGGTCCTGCAGTGGAGACACGCACTGATGGGGCTGGCCCTGGAAAATTACCCCGAAGTTCCTGACGGGACTATAATTAGATTGTGAAGTTCCTTTTGTCTCACCCGTCCTGTTGTCGCTGCCTCCCCCAGGGCTGAACCCTCCTGAGGGGGAGGGGAACCCCCCCGAGGAGCTGTGGCTCTTGTTGAACTGCTGCGACCTGAAGCCGTACGCTGGTTTCAGCGAAAACGGGTCTCCCCCGGGTTTATGGGAGAAGGACGGGTCTCCCCCGGGGTCGGAGCGCTTCCCATCATCAGAGGCCTCAGCTGCAGCAGAAACAGAAGTCAGAGACAACACAACCTCCCTCCATTACCCACAACACAACCTCCCTCTCATACACACAACACAACCTTCCTCACATTCCCACAACACAACCTCCCTCTCATACCCACAACACAACCTTCCTCACATTCCCACAACACAACCTTCCTCACATTCCACACACAACCTCCCTCTCATACCCACAACACAACCTTCCTCACATTCCCACAACACAACCTCCCTCTCATACCACAACACAACCTCCCTCTCATACCCACAACACAACCTTCCTCACATTCCCACAACACAACCTCCTCACATCCCACACACAACCTCCCTCTCATACACACACACAACCTCCCTCTCATACCCACAACACAACCTCCCTCTCATACCCACAACACAACCTTCCTCACATTCCCACAACACAACCTTCCTCACATTCCCACAACACAACCTCCCTCTCATACACACAACACAACCTTCCTCACATTCCCACAACACAACCTCCCTCTCATACCCACAACACAACCTTCCTCACATTCCCACAACACAACCTTCCTCACATTCCCACAACACAACCTCCCTCTCATACACACAACACAACCTCCCTCTCATACCCACAACACAACCTCCCTCTCATACCCACAACACAACCTTCCTCACATTCCCACAACACAACCTTCCTCACATTCCCACAACACAACCTTCCTCAATAAACTCTTTAATAACATCTGGACACAGTATTAGCTTATAGCTGTTCCACCCATGGCCACAGGGGGCGCTGTGGTGCTGCAGACTAAACTTACGTTACCCAGGAAAATGTCCATAGAACTCAATGTGAACTAAAACCAAGCCCCGGCGATCCAAGATGGCGCCCTATTCAAATGAATGGTTGTGCTCAGTGGCGCTTTGTGACGGCATGGGGGCTGAAAGATTAGCGGAAGTCGCCTGAAACTCGCAAAGATCTCTGGGAAACTCGCTTGTATTTGGGCATCGTCTGGTCCTCCCGGTTTTGTGCAGTGGATGATCTCCCATAATGCATTGCGCCAAACACGCGTGTGTGGGTCTCACACCGGGTCTCACGCACGTGCACAGAGGGGCTCGGCCGCGCTCTGACCAATCAGAGCAGTTCATCAGAGCGGGAGTTAGAGCGAGAGCCAGACGGGCAGAGTTTGTGGCACTAAAGTGTGGATTTAAACAAAACCGAAGGATTTAAGAAGAAAAAAAGTTCAGGATGACAAGGGACACAAAAATCCCCACAAAATCCGATCTTTATGAAAGCTGTAGGTTCTCTGTCAGCTGAGGTTGAGCTGTTTTAATATGCATTGAGTTCTATGGGGAAAATGTCTGGGTAGCCCACGTGAATTTAGTCTGGTTCAGTCTGCAGTACCGCGAGAATCCCCTGAGCACATGGGTTATTCAGCTACAAGCTAGTAATACCCTATCCAGTTAATATAATACTTCCATGACTAAAACAGACCTCAGCTGACAGAGAACCTGACAGAGAACCTGACAGAGAACTTTCTTGTATAAATCCTAAATTCTTGTTTTCCTCCTGCTCTGATCACCAGCTCTGATTGGTCAGAACGCTGCCCTCTGATTGGTCAGAACGTTCCCTCTCTGTGCACGTACATGAGAGCCACATGGGAGCTCGTCCACTGCGCAGAACCGTGAGGACCAGGGGACTCAAGTCTCCATGAAGTCCCATGCGCTACTGAGCACAAGCCATTCATTTGAATAGGACGCCATCTTGGATCACCGGAGCTTGACACAGATGGACAACGCTAACCCGCTAGCTCGATGCTAACCTGCTAGATCAATGCTAACCCACTAGCTTGATCCTAAGCCGCTAGCTCACTAAAGCCCAACAGGAAAGTGCTCATGGTGAAGTTTGGCTCCTCTCTCTGGCTCCTATTGACTTCCATGTAAAAGTAAACTCCTCAGTAACATTTATGTGACATCACATTTTGGGCTTAAGTCTCTGTGTCCTGTGGTTATCTGTAATGTTGTCTTTGGAAATCCAAATAAAGCCATTTAAGTACTGACCAATCAGAGGCCTTCATTCAGGGGAAACTCCAGCTCTATCCCCACTTAGCAACGGTCTTAGCAACACCTTCTTGTTATGGCACAAAGCTAATGCTGTCAGAACAAATGCCCATATAAGGAAATGACTCCAGCTTCTCCTGCACTAAGGCTAACATTGTGATGTCACACTCAGTCCACTCTTTATATATTCTCAATGCTACAGAGTAGCTCTCTCACCCTCTGAGTATTTCTCTCTCTCCCCCAGAGTACCTCTCTCTCACCTCTGAGTATTTCTCTCTCTCCCCCAGAGTATCTCTCTCTCTCCCCCAGAGTACCTGTCTCTCACCCCCGGAGTATCTCTTTCTCTCCCCCAGAGTACCTCTCTCTCACCTCTGAGTATTTCCCTCTCTCCCCCGGAGTATCTCTTTCTCTCCCCCAGAGTACCTCTCTCTCACCTCTGAGTATCTCTTTCTCTCCCCCAGAGTACCTCTCTCTCACCTCTGAGTATGTCTCTCTCTCCCCCAGAGTACCTCTCTCTCACCTCTGAGTATGTCTCTCTCTCCCCCAGAGTACCTCTCTCTCACCTCTGAGTATTTCTCTCTCTCCCCCAGAGTACCTCTCTACCTCTGAGTATGTCTCTCTCTCCCCCAGAGTACCTCTCTACCTCTGAGTATCTCTCTCTCTCCCCCAGAGTACCTCTCTCTCACCCCCAGAGTATCTAGAGTACCTCTTTCTCACCCCCAGAGTATCTCTCTCTCTCCCCCAGAGTACCTCTCTCTCACCCTCTGAGTAGCTCTCTCCGTAGCTCTCTTCACTGAAGAGGTTGTCACAGTTCAGACTTCGACAGAGTTTCTTGAGGAAGCGCAGGACGTAGTCGATGCTGTTGACGACCGGGAGGCTGAGCAGGTGCTGCTTCCCGTCGAAGGTGGCTTCAACAACAACAACAACAACTTTATCAACAACAACAACAACTTTATCAACAACAACATTTACAGCCGCAAGTGGCAATGAACGGCCGTCTTTGCCAAACTGCTTCTCAAACCTGTGATAATAATCATCATCATACAGTGTACTTTAACTGATGTTACTGATGTGGGTGAGGTCCAGAGAGTGAGGTCCAGAGACCGAGGTCCAGAGAGTAAGGTCCAGAGAGTGAAGGCCGCTGCAGCATGGACTCGGTCCTCAGGGTTTAGAAGTCTTGGTCCTCAGGGTTTAGAAGTCTCGGTCCTCAGGGTTTAGAAGTCTCGGCCCTCAGGGTTCAGGAGGCTCGGTCCTCAGGGTTCAGGAGGCTCGGTCCTCAGGAGGAGGCTTGGTCCTCAGGGTTCAGGAGGCTCGGTCCTCAGGGTTCAGGAGGCTCGGTCCTCAGGGTTCAGGAGGCTCGGTCCTCAGGGTTCAGGAGGCTCGGTCCTCAGGGTTCAGGAGGCTCGGTCCTCAGGGTTCAGAAGGCTTGGTCCTCAGGGTTTAGAAGTCTCGGTCCTCAGGGTTCAGGAGGCTCGGTCCTCAGGGTTCAGGAGGCTTGGTCCTCAGGGTTCAGGAGGCTCGGTCCTCAGGGTTCAGGAGGCTCGGTCCTCAGGGTTCAGAAGGCTTGGTCCTCAGGGTTTAGAAGTCTCGGTCCTCAGGGTTCAGGAGGCTCGGTCCTCAGGGTTCAGGAGGCTCGGTCCTCAGGGTTCAGGAGGCTCGGTCCTCAGGGTTCAGGAGGCTCGGTCCTCAGGGTTCAGGAGGCTTGGTCCTCAGGGTTTAGAAGTCTCGGTCCTCAGGGTTCAGGAGGCTTGGTCCTCAGACCAGTGAAAAAAGAGTCCATGGTGATAGATTATGGGAGAAGGGTGTAGAGGGTGTAAAGGGTGTAGAAGATGTGAAGGGTGTAGAGGGTGTGAAGGGTGTAGAAGATGTGAAGGGTGTAGAGGGTGTGAAGGGTGTAGAGGGTGTGAAGGGTGTAGAGGGTGTGAAGGGTGTAGAGCAGGCATGTCAAAGTCAAATACATCAGAGGGCCAAAAAAACAAATTTGCTGCGAGCCGAGGGCCGGACTGGTTCAATGTTTATTAACTCATTGCCTGCCAACCTATTTCAGAACAGGTACTCCCATATTGCCAGCAGTTTCTGATGATTTTTTATAGATTTTTCAAGACCCACAGAAGATTGTGTACTATGACTATCTGAAATCCGAAACCAGATTCTGAAAGAATAGACTGTCTACTTTCATCAGCAAAAAGAATTTTGTTTCTTGCTTGTAATCCCCAGTTGAGTAGAGGGAAGTTTTACTGAAATCACCAAAAAGCTGAGAAAAAAGAGGCACAACAAGTGCATCTAGCTGTTTTCAAACCATTCAGAGAGCGCTGCTGCCATCTGCTGGCTCGATTCAATATGCTCTCAAGCTTATCCCCAAACATATTAGATATAATAGACATCTGGGAACATGAAAATAGCGGAAAACGCAATTGACGTAATAGTGCGTCAATGGCAGGCAACGGGCCATATAAAATTCATTCGCGGGCCGGATTTGGCCCGCGGGCCTTGACGTTGACACATGTGGTGTAGAGGGTGTGAAGGGTGTAGAGGGTGTGAAGGGTGTAGAGGGTGTAAAGGGTGTAGAGGGTGTGAAGGGTGTAGAGGGTGTGAAGGGTGTAGAGGGTGTGAAGGGTGTAGAGGTTGTGAAGGGTGTAGAGGATGTGAAGGGTGTAGAGGGTGTGAAGGGTGTAGAGGGTGTAAAGGATGTATAGGGTGTAGAGGATGAAGAGGAGCGGGCCGAGTACCGAACCTTGAGGAACACCAGTGGGGACAGGGGAGGTATCACACATGTTTACAGACCTGAGCCTTAGTTGTTTGTTGAGACCTGCAGACAGTGCAGATGGAGAGACCAGAGAGAGAAACCAGAGAGAGAGAGACCAGAGAGAGAGGGACCAGAGACAGAGAGACCAGAGACAGAGAGACCAGAGACAGAGACCAGGGAGAGAGAGACCAGAGAGACAGAGACCAGAGAGAGCGACCAGAGAGAGACCAGAGATAGAATACTTTTACAAACATCAGTAGTGAACATTCATCTGCTTTCCATCCTACTGCAGTTCATCTGTATTTTTCAGGTAAAATCCAATGCACCAACCCGGATGGACCCGGATGGACCTGGATAGACCTGGATGGACCCGGATGGACCCGGATGGACCCGGATGGACCCGGATCGATAGTTTGAAATGGATGGTTTTATTCACCTGAGATCTTCTCTCCTCCGTATCCTTGTGTCAAAAGCGTAAAGACGTTCTTTTGTTGGAATGCACTGTCGATGCAGCCCTGCACGGCCTGCTGCAGCACAACAGAGGGCCGGTCTGGGCCAAAATGGTCCGGTAGGAGCTGGATCTTCTTCCGGTCGAGGT